GGGTCGAGATTGCCATCTCTCCCACGCGTCCAGATCGCAAACTCCTGGGCATATACAGTAGCGTCGATTCACTACCTATACAGTTTTCCTTCTGATGCACGTACAGTCCCCTCTATAGTCCGGACAGTTTACACTCGCTTGCCCCTCGCTGATTACAGTTCACTTGCTCGCACTGAATACACTCGCTTCGCACTCTCTCCTCGCTGATTACAGTTGTTCTGTGGTATGTACACTCGCTTGCACAATCGGCTTCCGGTCTGCGTAATACCTTGACTGGTCGGTTGTAATTACGTTACCTGTGGTATGTACACTCGCTTGCACAATCGGCTTCCGGTCTGCGTAATACCTTGACTGGTCGGTTGTAATTACGTTACAGTCTACGAGGGTACAGTCGCTAGCGATTTAATGACTGTACAGTTGTTAGCGATTGCGGCTTCACCCCTGTAGGCAGCGTTCCAAAAGTCGGTCATAATACAGTCGCTAGCGATTGCGGCTTCACCCCTGTAGGCAGTATTCCAAAAGTCCAGTCATCAGAAAATCGAGGACTGACCAATCACACCGATGGTTCTGCAGCTGACGTCTTGTACTAAGCTACATAAGGAAGGCGGGGCTGCTCAAATCCGTTGCGCAGCTGTGCGTAAGGGTGAAGCGGCAATCGCTAACTAAGTAGAGAATATACTGGTTCTAGCGTCGGCGCGTAGAGGCGATAGATTCATGAAAGTAAGAGCAAGGCCGAGGTAGCCCGAGGCGACAGCGTTATACAGTCTTGCGGCTTATCGTGGTATCATAAAGGCAGTAAGAGCGCTACAACAAAGGCGTTGAGCTGAGAGATAAATGAAGAGTCGATATACATACTCCGAGAGTATCTCCACCATTTAGCTTTTGTTGTTGTTGTAGAGAGAGAAGGTAGTGTGGGTGTTCTGTTACAGCGGTTGTTCCGTCACGAGTGGATGCACGTTAGTTAGTTAACTGGTAAGAAAGTACAGTTTGAGTTGACCACGACGAGAGTAAATAGTGATATTCACCTATCCTTATATCCTCATTGCTTCCAGTCCTACCATCAGACTTTCGACCTGACATCACTGATGTTTGTCTCCACTCTTGATGGTTGCCATCACATAACAGTCCTGCCATCACTGATGGCACTGCCTTGGCGTGATGGCACATCACGTGACCTATCCCCACGATGTCCGTCGTTTCCAGTTAGTATCCCAAGTGGTTTCTCAACCATTCCATCATCATCACCAGGGGAGAGATTCTTCCCGCTGTTACTTGTAACAAATGAATCTTACTTGTGCATCTATGTCAATTTAGACATGTACAATCGCTAGCGATTGCAGCTTCACCTAACACACTGGCTGCAATAAATGCTGCCCAGCTCCACCTTCCGTAATGAGTTATCGATGACTGTGGAGCGTCAAACAGACAGTTTGACTAGTTAGCTACCCATGAAAAAATGGGCTGAGCCCTTGCTGACACGTCGGGCCGAGTTGATGTTACTGCCTGCAAGGGTGAAGCCGCAATGGCTAGTGACTGTATCGATTTCCGTAACACCTGTGAAATGTGCTCGCCACTGTACATGTTGCGACACAGATAGGAAGGCCACTGTACGGAGGAGTGTAAGCGCGACAGAGATAGAAAACGAACGACTGGGACTTTGTGTGAATGAGTTTGCAATCTGGACGTGTGAGAGAGATGGCAATCTCGACCCCTGAACGCGACCGCGACCGCGAAGCGACATCCCTGCCAACCGAGCTACCAGCACCACTAAAGAG